AGAACCAAAGTAGGGGAAGTGATAAAAAAAAAAAAATACCTTTACATCATCAAAAGGGTTTAGTGCTAAATGCAAAGGTGGTCGTAGAAAATTTGTCCTTCCTGATTGTCCTCCATCACAGAGCCAAGAGGGGACTTGGTCTGTCTCTCTTGTGAGTTCAATAACGTGAAAAATACATTTGGTGTCAACTTCCATGTTGGTGTGCCACTGCATCTAGATGTAAGAAAGCTCACCGTTGAAAATTGGGTTGCCACATAAAAATCCAAGATGACCAATGCCATATGAAAACTGGCCACCTCTATCATTGAGAAAACTATGTCTTCCAGGTTTTAAATTGCTTAAAAGTATAGTTTCCTCAAATGATTGGGGTGGTGGCCAAAGATGAATCCATGGTGGCCACTCCCTGGCTCCACCGTTGCACCTTATAGTGGATAAAATGTCTCCCTCTGCTCACTCTGAGCTGCCTTGGACAGGCAAAAAAAATAAATCACTACCCGTTCTCCACAGTGTAACTCCTACCGACTTGAATATCTTGCACCAGAAACATTAAGGTTTACTTCCATTCCTCTGTTTAATTCCATTCCTGAAAAACATCCATCTCCAAAACTCCAAACATTCATAATTCAAATCCCTCCGCGATGGAGAACAGTGGTGTACCCCTTGTTGTCCTTTGTCGTGGAATAAAAATGGAGAATTGGAAATACCCTCTCTGTCCATCAGTGAATGTTGTGAGCTGAATATCTTGAAAAATAAAGGAGTTGCCAACTTCCTTTTTTGTGTGTGGCTGCATCTAGATGTAAGAAAAGTTCATTTCAAAAACTGGGTTGCCAAGTCAAAATCCAAGATGGCTGCCACCATTTGAGGAAACTATGCTTTCTAGTTTTGTTTATTCCTTAATGGTATAGTTTCCTCAAATGATAGCCAAAGTTTAATCTATGGTGGCCAAGGCCACCATTGGCCACTCCCTGGCTCCAACATTGCACCTGGTGGTGGATAAAATATCTCCTTCCGTTAGTCAGGATCTGTCACTCCGCACCACCTCGTACAAGAAAACAGAAAATGCTACTTCTGTTCTTCAACACAGTGTAACTCATACCCACTTAAATATCTTGGATTATAAATATGTAAGGTTTGCTTACATTATCTGTTCAATTCCAGTCCAGAAAAACACTTATCTCTAACACTACAAACATTCACTATTCACATCCATCAGTGACATTTGCGTACCGCTTGTTTACAATTATGTTACTGTTCATCCATCCATCCATTATCTTTTACCCGCTTCTTCCTTTTTGGGTCAAGGGCATCATTGGTGCCCATATCCAGCCATCACAGTGCGAGAGGCGGGGGACACTCTGGACTCCAGTCCATCACAGGGACACATAGAGACAAACCAGACAAACAACCATTCACTCTCTCACTCTCACCTAGAGACAATTTAAATTTACCAATCAGCCTAACATGCATGTTTTTGGTCTGTGGGAGGAAACTGGAGTACCCGGCGAAAACCCACGCAGCAAAGAGAGAACATGCAAACTCCACCCAGAAAGGCCCTGGGCCGGGATTTGAATCGGTGACCTTCTCGCTGAGAGGTGGCAGCTCTACCAGCTACGCTACTGTACCACCCACTTATGCTACTACTATACCCTAAATGCTAAAGTCCCTCTTACACACAGTCTCTTACCAAACCTACAAATTATTACCATTATTTCTAATGACACTACCTTCTTTAAGCCCAATTATCCTGATCATTAGACTAGAGCAAGATTTTAAAGTTTTCCAGGATAAAATGAGTCTGAATATCTTGTTTCTATTACAAAGTGTATTTAGAGCAGAGGGCCTGTTTCAAAGCTTAAGAAATGAACTAATGAATGAATGAATTAAGCTTTATTCACATCAATACCATACCATACCATTATTTGTCATTGTTTCAAGAACAATGAAACTGCAAAGCCAGAGTTTGTTTGCTGTCCATAACATGACACACACATATTGCATGTAAATAAAAAGTTTACAAAGTAAGTAATAGCTTTTAATGTGAGTTTTCAGGAAACGTTTCATTTTCCTAAATTAATTCCTAACATGAGCCGTTCCGCTGAGAGTTAGTAAAACCAGGTTTAAGACAAAAATCGCACTCAGAGCTGCTTAGTCAGCGGAACCTTCTCCCTCGTCCACACAGGTACATCCCTAAGTGATTTCTCATGATCAGTCTATTCAGACAAACGTAACGAGGCATCAGATAAAGCCGTCTAAATCCCAGGAATGTGTGCCAACGTGTTTGATGCTCATTTCAAAGGAAGTGCCTGCGCACGCTTCAATGTGTCGGGGAATCTTCCGCTCTCCTCCCCTGCTACTGTACCCCAGATTCCCTCACATCTGAGCTGTCTGCTTCAGAGGGGATGCCTCGTCTGTTCTCGCAGCCTCGGTTCTGTGAAGTGGTTCTCCTCTCGTGCTATTGGCTCAGCAGGAGCCCGCGCTGCAGGCGGCGTGATGCCTGAGCAGCCTACGTGACGTCACAGTCTGTGCGTTGGCGCCGCCGCGTGGGGCTCAGGATTTTTATTCCTAATCCAGGGCCAGGAGAACAGGATGAGGTCATGATGCCGTTAGGCTGGTGGAGGATGGATAGATCTTGGCTTTATAGAAACACATAGATGCTCCTGTAATGGAATTAAACTGGTGAAAAGAAGAGCTTAAAGTCTGACACCATACAGACTGAGTGGCATAGACCAAACCTCTGAGAACATAAATACCCTGAGCTGATCCAGCCGTGTCTCTTTGGAGCCCCTTGGTCTGAAGGTCACTCACTTTGTGAGTCATTCAGATTGTCAGACCATCGTTTCCCCACAGAACCTGCTCAGAGACGAACTGTTCACCTTCCAGTAGTTTTATTAACTCAAACAGCTGTGGGAAGTTGGTGTGCCCGTCCTAATTTATCTGTTTGTTAACAAAATTCAAAGTAATTCTTTCAGCTTTTCCCTGTTCGGGGTGTCCTCCTCCTGTGTCCTCTGCATCCTCTGTCCTCGCTCCAACTACCTCCATGTCCTCTCTTACTGCATCCATATATATCCCCTGTGTCTTTTTCCTGGCAGCTGCATTTCTGACATCCTTCTACCAATATACCCACTGTCCCTCCTCTGGACATGTCTAAACCACTGTCCCTCCTCTGGACATGCCCAAACCACTGTCCCTCCCTTGGACATGTCCAAACCACTGTCTCTCCCTTGGACATGTCCAAACCACTGTCCCTCCCCTGGACATGTCCAAACCACTGTCCCTCCCCTGGACATGTCTAGGGGAGGTCCAAACCACTGTCCCTCCCTTGAACGTGTCCAAACCACCGTCTCTCCCTTGAACGTGTCCAAACCACCATCCCTCCCTTGGACATGTCCAAACCACCGTCTCTCCCTTGAACGTGTCCAAACCACCATCCTTCCCTTGGACATGTCCAAACCACTGTCTCTCCCCTGGACATGTCCAAACCACTGTCCTTCCTCTGGACATATCCAAACCACTGTCCGTCCCCTGGACATGTCCAAACCACTGTCTCTTCCTTGGATATGTCCAAACCACTGTCTCTTCTCTGTACATGTCCAAGTCACTGTCCCTCCACTGGACATGTCCAAACCATTTCAGTGTGTCCTCTCTAACTTTATCTCCCAGTTCAACCTGTGTTGTGCCTCTGATGATCTCATTCCTAATCTTATCCATCCTTGTCTCTCCTAAGGAGAACCTCAACATCTTCATTTCTGCCACTTCCAGTTCTGTCTCCTGTCTTTTTGTCCATGTCTCTGTCTCCAGATCATGCAACATAGCTGGTCTCACCACTGTCTTGTAAACTTTTCCTTTGACCTTTGCTGACACCCTTTAGTCTCAAATCACTCCTGAAACTTTTTTCCATCCACTCCATCCTGCCTGGACTCTCTTCTTCACCTCTTTACCACATTCCTCACGTTCCTGGACAGTGGACCCCAAGTCCTTGAAGTCCTGCACCTTTGTGACCTCTGCTCCTTGTAGCCTCACTGTTCCACTGGCCTCCCTTCCATTCAAACACATGTAATCCTGTTTTCTATAAACCCATTTTCTTTGGTATTTTTTGAATCAGTTCAACAAAAGAGCCGGTGACAAATTGTGTGTTTGTGACAGTCGGTAACGAAGAGACGACAGATCCAGTTTAAACTTGAACTGTCCTGTTTTGTGGTTCAGAGTCAGAGTTTCTTTATTTGTCACGTGGTACATATGGTGGAACGAAATTGTTTATTTCATCGTTGATGATTCATGGATCAGAGTTAAATGAGGACTGGATCCAAATTTTAGCACGGTCTTGTTCTGTAATCTACAGTTGCAGCTCTTAGGACGGCCATCGTGTAGCCAGCAGGGCCTCCTTAGGACTGCTCACTTGGTTCCTGCTGTGACTGCCAGCATGTGAAGAGCCTTGCTGTCCTCAGTTTGTCGCTCGAGTGTTGTTTGACTCATCAAAGCCAGAACGTGGCGACGGGCTCAGAGCCATCATTGGAGTTTGTCTCCCAAGTGGTCGTGGGGACTCAAACTCTGCATGAAGTTTGACCACACAGCCTAAACTGACTGCAAAGATATTTATTTTCCTGCTGCGGTCTCTGGAGCAGGAGGGGGTTGTGTATTTATTAGTCATTCAGTGGTGCAGGAAGCTGTTGCACTAATCTTTCATTTGACTTTCTGCTTGAGGCAGCAGGAGCCGCCTGAAATCTCCAACAGATTGTGCCGGGTGTGTGTGTCGGAGTGTGCGCACACACGGTTTGTGCTAAACAGCTGTGTGTGTGTGAGGGTCCATTTTAAATTAAATTAAAGGCTTCGAAATAACAAATTAAGAACAACACGTCACATGTTGTGGGGAAATTATTTTCAGTAATTTAATATTTTGTGTAATTGTGATTAAAAAGCTGCCTTCTGTCGCTGTGATAACAGGAACTAAAGCTGCCGTGTGTTCGTATTCTGTTCTCTGACCGGGCCGCCTCGTGTTTCAGGAGCTGGGATGGTCGTGGACTGGGAGCAGGAGACAGGCCTCCTCATGACGTCTGGAGACGTTCGGATCATCCGGATCTGGGACACTGACCGAGAAATGAAGGTCCAGGTACTGAATGTTTTAATAAAATTTATTTTCTAAAGGAAAAAAACAGTTATGTTCATCTTCTCTAGGTTTTTAATTGTGAGCGTTTGGTACAAGTGACCAGCGAGCCATGTGGCCATGCCCAGATTCTTTAAGATCACTGTCCTGTTCAAGTTCAAGAATCTTTATTATCCCCAAATTGCAGTTCGTTTCACAGTCAAATAGGCACACAAAAACATCCATACTACACAATAGAGTTGCATTCGGGCCCAAAAAATCCGACCCGGCCCAGCCTGTAGCCATCATTTCTGAACCCCACCTCCATTATTTCTGAACCCCACCAGACCCGAAGAATTAACAGTAATTACAGGTTCAAACCCAAAAAAAAAACATTTTTAATTAAGCTTTGACTGCTTATATAGTTAACGGCCGGCGGACGTGCGCAGCTGAGTAAAAGGGGAAGAAGATCAGAGCTGAGGGGGTGTTTGTTCTTTCGTGGCCATCAAAGCGCATTAAAGCCATGCTTCTGCCTGCATTCTGCATTATTCGGACATGGGCCCTGCTTTGGGATCTCACCTGTTTGGGTCGTCGGCCGCACGTGTCCGCTGAGTGCAGTGGCTGAACGTCAATTTGGGCGATGGATCGCTTCCTGGAAGCATAATCCCATCTGAAGCTTTAGCTTTATTCTACCTCTTTCAAGGCCGGTCAGTTTGCGGTCAAAAGGCCGCGTGCGGATGGTGATAGTATGGCAAGCCATGTTGCCATATAATTGGATCGCCAGCTGCGTGCGTCCGCTGACGCAATCAAAAGCCTGACATCGACCCGCCCTGCCCATCCAGCACATATAATGACCCAGCCCGGCCCAAATTCGGGCTGGGTCGGGCTTCAGGCCTGGGTTACAAATGACAGCTCTACTACACAAGACATTGAGACATTAAAATAACAGTACAGACGTCATCATTGTTCATTGAGAAGCCTGATCGCTACAGGATGAATGCGTTTTTCATTCTGTTCATCTTACATCTGGGCAGCAGCGTCCAGATGGAACAACTTGAACTCACTATGGAGTGGGTGATCAGGATCTGCCAGAATCTGCCTGGCCTTGTTCACTGGCCTCGCCTTGTGAGGTTCTGTGGAGCTGTCTCAGCAGTTTTGCTGCACATCCTGACAATCCCAGAAAGTTTGTTCCTGATTTTCATGTTAAAAGTCCAAATCAACAGATGAAGGTAAAAGTTAAGAAACTCAATAAAACATTTTTATAAAAATAGAATCAACATTAAAACCACGGAGCTTTCCACGTTCATCACTGTGATCATGTCTGTGCACATTATTTTATTGCCCACATCGTTCTCGGCTCGCTTTGTGCCCAAGCTGCTCTCGGATTTATGATTCAACCCACCGGTGTACATTTTTGAAATAAACATTTTTGTCTGGACCATAACTTCTGATCCGCTCAAGATACTTAAATTTAGTTTAAACATATGCATCATCACAGAACGGAGAGTCATGCACATTTTTAATTACCCTAGCTTTAAGGTCAAGGTCAAACATTGTACAAGGTCTTTGCTTGTCTAGCCATTGCTGTATAATAGTTTGTGCCGTATTCGGTGGTAAATAATTCTTCGGCATGGATTTTAGACCTGGATATTTGGGGTCTGTAGCTTCATATGTTGTTGTTTTTTTGTTGTCAAAGTTCACCACTGGCTCTTTAGATTTTACAGAAACTAAATTAAGAATGATTTGAAGCAGGTTAAAGATTTTGTCATTTTGTAATTAAATACTGAAACGCCGGTTACTGCCAGTTACTAGCTTTTCAGCCCTATTAGTGACTATTATTAAAAATTATTGTACTCATCCCTTGTTCTGCCCCTAAAACATTAGTTGTTGTTTTTTTCTGTTAAAGTCCCAGTAGCTGGTTTGAAACTCTGTAGCTTCAAAAACTAAGTGACCTTAGTTTGAAAGTGCGATCAAAAACAAGCTGAAGGTTCTTCCTCTCCCTCGCAGCAACTGTAGAGCTGGACTGAATAATATTTACTCATCTACCAAGGACATCTGTTTGGTTTCAGTACATATTATTAATATATTATACAAATCAATAAAAAAAATAAATACGAGAGCAAAAAATATATATTAAAGTCATTACATGAGAATTTTGCTAAGGTTTAAAACTGCCCGCTTATAACAGATTAAAAAAAGGTTGTGCAAATTTCTAATGTTTATATTGATTAATTGTAAAAAAAAGTATTTTTATTTGGTATATTGAAAAACTGAAAGAGTATCCGTGTCTATAAAAAGTATTCACCCCTTTGGATGTTTTATGGTTTTATTGCTGTTATAAATCGGTTGTGGTTAATAAAAATTGGCCTTCTTTACAAAAGAAAAATAAAATTACTGCTTCAGTGTCAAAGTGAAACCAAATTTCTCCAACGTAAGACCAATTAAATTAATTTATGTAATGTAAAACAAGTTGCATAAATGTTCACCCGCTTTAAAGTGACTGACCTAATTCAACTCAGAGAAAATGTTATAAAGTTTAAATCATGGGATGAGGACAAAAAGATTTCCAAGGAATTCTGTTAAACCCGTAATCAAGACATGCAAGGAATATGGGGACATGTGTAAATCTACCAAGAGCAGGCTGTCCTTACAAACTCTGTGACCGTGGAGGAAGGAGAAAACCACCAAGACACCTGGACAACAGTTGCTGTATGCTCAGTCTCTCACAAAGCTCTGACTGGTGATGAACTCCGGCAACAGTTGATGTATGCTCAGTCTCTCACAATGCTCAGACTGGTGATGAACTCCAGCAACAGTTGCTGTATGCTCAGTCTCTCACAATGCTCAGACTGGTGATGAACTTGGGCAACAGTTGCTCTATGCTCAGTCTCTCACAATGCTCAGACTGGTGTTGAACTCGGGAAACAGTTGCTGTATGCTCAGTCTCTCACAAAGCTCAGACTGGTGATGAACTCGGGCAACAGTTGCTGTAGGCTCAGTGTCTGACAAAGGGCAGATGGGTGATGAACTTGGGCAACAGTTGCTGTATACTCATAGTCTCTCACAAAGCACAGATTGGTGATGAACTCTGGCAACAGTTGCTGTATGTTCATTCTCTGACAAAGGTCAGACTGGTGATGAACTCGGGCAACAGTTGCTGTATACTCAGTCTCTCACAAAGCTCACACTGGTGATGAACTCGGGCAACAGTTGCTCTATGCTCAGTCTCTCACAAAGCACAGACTGGTGATGAACTCGGGCAACAGTTGCTGTATGCTCAGTCTCTCACAGAGCACAGACTGGTGTTGAACTCGGGCAACGGTTGCTGTATGCTCAGTCTCTCACAATGCTCAGACTGGTGATGAACT